TGACCTTGACCTCTCGATTACTAGACGGAGGCTTTATTAATTTACATAACATGCCAGGATTGGATTTAGACTTTTCAGTTTAATATTTCGGCTCACTTTTAAGGCCCAAATTATTATCCAAATTAGCCCAAAAAAATTCTTAGGTCACCTTCAAGGCCCAACCTAAGCAACTAATTAACCCAATTATGATCCAACTAATTAGCCCTATGTTGCACTTCATGGCCCATATTATGATCCAAATTAGCCCAAAACTAATTAATCATTTTAGTACCTAAAAATCTTCATTTGCCATCTAATAGATTGTAAATAGTTTCAAAAACGTTTAATTTTGATGTTTCTTAAAAATTAAAAAAAAAGTCATAGTCTAGAGAAAGGGTTACTGAAATTTAAATCTTAAAATGAAAGCATAAATTAATTGATTAAATTTTAAAATTTAAATTTAATTTAAAAAATATAATTTTAACATTAACGTTCCAAGATTATTAATTTAACCAAATTTATGATATTATGAGCTTGTCAAAAACTCTGAAAATTGATTTTTTTTATTTTATTTATGTTTTTGTTTGTGCAGGAAAAGCTGCAAGGGGCAGAAGGATTGATGGTGGTGTTGTTGAAGTTCGATATAATTGATGGGTTTTAAGTAATTTTGTTTATGTTTACGTCAAGCTGTGATTGGGATTTGTTTCTCGAAACTGAAGTTTGAGTCAATAGAGGAATCCCCCAAAGCAAGTTGCCCAAGGCTTCCGGCACTCCTTTGCTATTGCCCAAGGCCCATCCACTTCTTTCTGTACATACAGGGTAAATTAGCGATATCAATTTTATCTTTGTTCAATAAAAAAATTGATTTTTTTATTTGAATGAAGATATGGATAAATATTATATTGTGACTATAGAGATTGAGATTGATATAATTTTAAATTTTTATTAAATATGAGAATGAAGATAAGTAATATAATATTTATTTTGTATCTGTATTTTACGTATATATTTTTATATATTTAGTGTATAGATTTTTATTAAATAATATAAATTATTGTTTAGATTAATTAAAATTAATATATTTTTATTCAAAAAAATATATTAATATATGTTTTTATAAAAAATTATTTAAATATACAAAATAAAAATTAAAAAAAATGTTAACAAAATTTTAATTTTTATCTTTTTTTTAATATGGGTATAAAGATTATCTATATATATATATATATATTAAATATCAGCAAAGATAAAAATAGAAATAAATTTAAAATACTCATTGGATATAAATACAGGGATTGTTATAATATGGAAATCCGAAAATGAGATAGGAAATACTCTACCATATCCATACCTTATCATTAATATCCCCAAGATAAATGAATAGAGGTTTTGATGAATTATTTGTGAATATATTTCATTTTTGTTTGTTTATATTTATTTGTTAAATTTAATAAATATTTTGAATAGTATTTATATATTAGTTTATTAAATGAATTAAATATGAATAGAGATTTATTTGGTTTATTTATATTCATGAACAAATTCATTTAAAATTCTTTTAAAACTTTTATTTTTTTGTTCATTTATTATTCATTTACTATTTGTTTATAATAATACTAATAAAATTATATTTTTATTTTTTATCTTAATCGTATTTTGAGATTTATTTATATTTGTTTGAGTTCATTTCTAGTCATTTAATGTTTGTTTATTTAAATTTATTTTATTATAGTTTATTTATTATTCATTATATATATATTAATGAATATGTTTGTTTAATATTTGTGAATATATTTATTTAATTTAATTAAATCGAATATAAACCAAATGAAATCATCCTATATAGAACAATTTTTTTGTTAAGCACAAATCAAATATGAATGAAAACATTTTAAAAATAAATGAATAAACCGTGAACATATATTTATTCTTTCATATTCTATTCTTATACAACCCTATGCACAAACAAAACAAGAACATGCACAGAAAAAAGACAAAATAATTGTCTTAGGTTACTTCAAGCTGACATGTGGATCAGATTACTTCTTCTCCTCTTCCATACATTATCTTAACATGACTTTAAGAAAGCAATCTCAATCTGTTTGCAAAAAAGAGGCCATAGAAAAAAGAAGGAAAAAAATAAAAGCATGTGCATCAACTCCAACGGGCTTAGTTGCCCATAACTATAGAACATTTCACAAACAGTTAAAAATACGCTTGATAGCTTGGAATCACATCAGCTCTGCTACAAAAAGTTTCAGACATTTTCCAAATCATTCTCAATTTTTCATTTTTTGTTTGGTGAAGATTGAGGTCTAAATTCAGTGTAAACACCAAAAAAATCCAAATCAGATCCAAATTTAGTATTATTTTTAAGTAATGTATATAAACCACGCATTTCCTTGAGTAGATAAAAATATAAATCTGCAAAAAAAATAAAGAAATCAATTTTTTGTGATCCAAAATTTCAATTGATAAGCTGATCTGGTGACAAAATTAGATCTTTGTCTATCAAGATGAGTAAACAAAATACAATGGATCAGTTGATTTCTTTGTATTTTATTATTATTATCATTTTTTTTTGGGTGGAATTTGTAATGTCTAAAGTGATGTATACAAAATTGGCATGTGTATGTGTTCACATGAACCATAGTCTTTTTTTTTTTTTGCTATATCACATCACATCATCAATTCTTGTGAATATGATTTTTTTTAATTAATTTTATCATATTGCAATTGGCTTGAAATCATAGTACAATATAATTAGTGAGTGGCATTAAATAAAATAAATTAACAAAAATATAATTGAAGATTTTTTTTTCTATCAATTTCCTTGCATGGAGAAGCCATTTCTTTATAAACACAATCACAACTCCCCAAAATTTGACCATGCATCACAACATTTTTCTTGAAGTTGCATTTAAACTATAACTATAATTTCATTCAACATTTGCAAATTTAATCCAATGGTATCTTATGCATGTGACATTGAGGGTCCACTATAGTTTTCTTTTAAAGAAAAATTGAAATCAAAGAAACAAATGATAATCATAAAATTATTTCAACTTAATCTTTTTTTTATATTTTATATTTATGATCATATAACATTAAATCATAAAATTAAAAGTTTAATACTCTATAAAAATTAAATTAAAATGATGGGTAACTTTGACTATCTTACTCTTAAGCAAGGGGAGGGAAAAACGAAATGATAATTATAAAAAATAATGCATGGAGGGATGTGTTAATGATTATGTTTTCTCCTTTAATTAGTGGCCATAAAGTGTGGCTGATCAATGAAATGTAATTGAAGAGTTTGAGAATGTGCTGCTACATGCAAATTATGCAAAGATCAAAATATTAAAGAAAAAAAATTTAATGTGGGACACCATGTTCTTCTCTTAAGTCTTAAGTATCTCTGATTAATTTAATATATTATAAGGTAAGTACTAGACATTGCAAAAGGTTTATTTGTAACTCTTGTAGATGACTTTCGTAATGCAAATTGAAAAAAAAAAAGTTTGAAATTTATATATTTTATTGGCTTGAATTTGTTTTTATATATTAATAGTGAAATTTTTTAATTTTATGAGTGAAGTTAAAAGACTACCGTACGTCTTTTTTTTAATTATTTTTATTTTTTACTACATCAAAATTTTTTTCTTTTTTGCTAATTTTGTTTGTAAAATGTAAAATTTTCATTATTAATGTATGTGACTATCAATATGATTTTTGTCATTTTGACTTATTTATATTAATTTTGTTACATATGGATTATTAATTATGTGGTAAACTTTAATTAAATCTATTTATACCAAACTTTAAATTTTGAACACTTCACCCTCTCAAAGAAGAATGTAATTGTTACCAAGAAGCAATAAGAAAAGCATGAAAGATGGATAGAGATGTAAGATTACTAAGTATGTGAAAATTTCAACCAAATGGGATAAATAACATGAAGATGCCAATTCCCAAATTACCAAACAATCTTTCAAAATCCTCCTTACCAAAATCTCCTACATTTTTAACCAATTAATCATGCAAATTTTGAAAAAAAACAAAACTATCAATCATGCCAGATTAGGATTAAAAAAAAAATATGATGTAAACAAGAAATTTAACCCTTTTTAACCGCTAAATGTATAAGATCTCCTAAAGTTCATTTGGATTCTATGGTATTTAAGTTATTTTTTTTTTCTCTTAACTGCACTGTGGGATATATTTGGATAATACTTCATAAATGCAATTTGGAGAAAGAAGGATCTAATAGTTTATTATTGGATCTTAGAACAGTCCATTATTATATTTAAAATAATCAATTGCTTTTAATATAAAATTAAAACAAAAAAAAATTTGAATCAGAAAACAAATACATTTTTAAATCATAACAATCGATTACTATGTTAAGATAGTAGTCTATCATATTTAATTTATCATCACAATTATATTTAATTTATAATATTTAATATTATTATTATTATTTTTAATTTTACCTAAATTAATCTCATACTGATCCAAATACAGTCTGAAAACCAATTATTAGTATAAAAAAATTTTGAATTTCAAAAGCAAATTAAAAATAAATAAACTACTAAACAAAGAAATACTTGACTCTTAATTGTTAAGTTTGTAATCAACCACAAACAGGACAGGTGGCAGGTCTATTGCAAAACAGGACAAATGTCTCCAACCATTGGGCCATTGCTTTCTAGTTGTTTACACATCTTTCATTGCCCTTTGCCTCTTCACCCCCTCCCAAAAAGTTTCAATTTATATATTTTTTAAATTTCCCTTCTTTAAGGCTTTCTCTGTTTTGAAAATAAATTTGATAATTTATTTATGTATATCATATAAAAAATTAAAATTTTATATTTATTTTAAAATTTTATATTAATATAAAAACATAAAAATATATTTTTTAATTTTATTAAATTTATATATAATAATTATTAAAATTTTAAATTATATTATTTTTTATTATATTCTTATTATGTTATTATATGACATTTTAAATTATTAAATTTAACTGCAACCTTAATAAATGCAGTTTGTCTTCAACATGCTCTACTCCTCTCTCCCACCCTTTCCTTTCTCTTTCCCTTTCCCTCTCGCTTTCAAAACCCAAACTTGGCCTCTTTATTAAATCTTCTCTGCCGAGCAACTTCCTCCCTCACTTCCTCTGCATTTCCCCCAGCTTTCCTCTGTTTTCCTCTGTTTTTTTTTTTCTCATGGCCGAGCAGATAAATGACACTGAGTTTTGGCTTCCGGCGAAGTTTTTAACGGATGACGATGTTGTTATGGAGAAAGAGAACCTTAAGAACAAAACCAGTGGCAAAAACAACAAGGACTTGCTGATGTCGAATCATGGTTTCCCAACTGAATTCCCCCACGAGTTCGACTCCTTCTCTGCTCTCAGCTCCCCTGTTGAAACCATTGTTGGTTCTACTGAGTCTGATAAGAGTGACGAGGATGAGTTTCTTGCTGGGTTGACTTGCCGACTCGCTCACTCAACGAGTCAGAAACTAACCGTTCCTAGCCTCTCCCTGGACAAAAACGAGGTAAATAATTTCTGGGGTTTTCATGTTGAGCCTATTAAGCTTAGTACTTTTAGTCTTTTTGATTGACATTTGGGTTCTTTTTTGGGGTTTTGATTCAGAAAACTGTAGGTTGGGCGAGTTCGCCACAGTCGACTCTGAGTGGGCTCGGAGGCAGGTCAGGTTCTAGCAATGGCAGCCCATATGGCCCATCTCAAGTTCCTTCTCCTCCAACAACTCCTTTCAGCGCCCAAAATGGCACTTGGGATCTCATATATGTCGTAGCTGGCCATGTTGCGAGGTTACAAATGAGCAATGAAGCACCCAAACACAACAACTTTTACCATGGAAGAGACATTTCCAAGACACGAAGTGATGCCTTCATGAAGAACTCAAGCTCTGGCTTGTATTCAAGTCAGAGTCTTTCTTATAATATTGCTCAAAGAAATCAGGTAAGCGTGCTATTCAAGTTGGAAGTTTTAACCTTGATTTTTTCCAACTTGAAAGATTTTTTATTTTATTTTATTTTCTGATCTGTTTTTAGGCTTATGGGGTTCTTTTTCTTTGTTTTGTTAGTATCATGGACGGCAGGAGCAGGTCTTAAAACCTCAGTGCAAAGCTGCTTTGGGGAGGCAAGTGAAGGCAAGCAACTGGCAAGCACAGCTTCATCAACAACAACAGCAGCAGCAGCAGATCCATAGAAGAGCAATGAAAAATGTTGTTAGGGTGACGCCTCTGGTGTTGCCTCAATGTTCATGGCCTCCACTTCAAGTTCAATCTAAGCAGCAGCCTCAAAAGAACTCTGGTTCTGGCATGAGAGCTGTGTTCCGTGTTGGATCTGGTGGTGTTAAAAGAGAGTGTGCTGGAACGGGTGTTTTCCTACCTCGTAGATATGGCAACAACACTCCTGAACCTTGCAAGAAATCAAGTACAGGCTTCCAGCTTTCTTTTGAGGTCTTTTAGACTCTTTATGCAACACATTTGGTTTTCAATTCTCTTCTCGCACTACTCAATAATTGGGGTTTTGCATTGTTCTTTCTGGTGTTAAACAGGTTGCTCAACAGCTCTTCTCCCAGCAAACGTTGTTCAAGCTTTCAATCTGAACTTCAATGATTCTAACAGGAATGTTCAGCCACATTTCAATGCCAGCTTTGCATCAAACCATGGTGAGTCCAGGATACCATTTTTACACTACCAAGCCTGATTCATTTTTAACCCATGTTAATTACTTCCGAGTTACTGAAATCCTGACGGTTCAATTCTGTAGATGCATTGGTAGCCAGAAGAAATGCAATGCTGACACAAGCAAGGAGAAATTATAGACCAGAGGGAGGCCTAAATCATGAAGCATGTCTACCCCAGGAATGGACTTATTAATCCCTGGAAAAATCAGTCCAAAATTATGTCCAATAGTGTTTGTTTTATTGGAGAAATGCCAGTATATGGTATTTTGGTTTATACAAGGAAAGAAATTCAAGAATGTGAATGTAGTTTAGGAACCAATAAAGATTTGAAGATTGCAGCTTTTGGGGATTAGCCATAAGTAGAAGAAAATAGGAAACAAATAGGGGAAGGGATTTTTTTTTTTTTAAAAGAAATGGGTTTTTTTTTTTCTTCTAATTTTAAGAGGGGAAAGGATTTGTCTTTGAAAATTGGCCGTTTTGGTTGGGGAAAAGAAAAAAAAAACCAGAATTGTAGAAGAAAAATTCAAAACCCTCTTTGTAATATCCCTTGGCAATTGAAATATATTACTAATGATATATTTTCTTTAACCATTTAGGCTCAGTAAGTTCAATCAAAATGAATGTTTTCGAATCAAGAACTTGATAAATCAAAACCTGTCAAAGTAGAAAACAGAGCATGAAACTGATATGGGATTTTTTTTAATGCAAAACAGTGGTAGAATCACTTACAATCTTAAGCCTTGAGGTCGTCTTACCCTTAATAAGTCTTCGAGGTCTTCCCTAAATATTTGTGCATTAAATGAATTAAATTTATTGGAGGATTCTTTAACACAGTGATTATCATCTTGACTAAAAGTTCAGTTAATCAAATAATCAATACAAAAATTTGTTTCCGAAGATGCGTTGAATTCTAGACTTTTAATCTTTATTGATAAACCATTGACATTGATGAATAACATAGTAAAGAGAATCTTTTACATTAATAGAACGTATAATCCTTTGAACTGTCAATAGAGAATTCGATTCAATAAACCTCATTTAAAATCTTTGTCCCAATCCTATCTAAATTGCATACAATTTGGTTTTAAACATTAAATCATATCTAATTTTTTAATAAATTCATATATCTAATAATCATTTGAATTTCATACTATATCACATATAGTTAAATTACTTAAATTAAAAGATACAACGCCTTTCACGTTAATTTTAATAAAAGTAGATGGGATTTGCCTTTTCTTTATTAAATTTTTTTAAAACATGAAATTAACTTCAACAAATCCAAAAAGAGAAACCCAATTTTGTGCTACTACGACTATTTTATTCTTATTAGATAAAAGTAAAGCACAAAAGCAAGCACCAAAATTGCTATCTTTGCGTCAGCGTGAAGTAGCGGTGGTGGGGACAAGGACATGAAGAAGGAAAAGAAGATCAAAAGGCGAAAAAAATTGCCGTACGTTTTTGCCTTGATTTTTATTGGGACCCCATTTCTTTGTTTTTTGCTAGGTAAGTATCAATATAATTTATTTTTTAGAACACTAAAAAATGCCCATTTAATTTTTAATTTTTTCCCAATTCTTTGTCTTTGTTTTTGAAAAAAATTATACATAAGACAAAACATATTTGGTTCTAAGTCTTAGTACTTTTTGAATTTAATAGTAATTATACTATTATCTTTTGATTTAATTGATATATCATTAAAATTAATATTTAATAATTACGAATTCAAAAAATTTATAAGTATAATATCTTTTTTAATTAAATAAATAATATGATAAGAGGAATTTAAGGGTAAATTAAGAATTTTAAAAAAATAGTAATTGTACTTTCGCTCATCCTTTGGGCAATAGGATAATTTTTGTATTAATTATTGATTCAAAATTCAAATAATTAAATTTTATAACTTGGGTATTAATTATTTATACACTGTTAGTATATAAATTTTATATATTGTTAATGGATTAGATTATGACAATTTGAGTATGAATAAATTATCATCATTTGATTTACTGATAGTCTATAAAAATTTATACACTGACAATTTATCAAATATAAATTCAAAAATTATACATACTGAATTTGAATGTTAGACTTGAGATATTTGATGTTTACTTATTTTTAGTTAAGATAGTATTAATTATCAGAAGCAGGCTTTATCTGGTTTTGGTTTGGATGCTGGAAATGGAAGAAAATGGTGGAGACCTATTTCTGTTTGAGGTTTTAATTAGCAACTGTTCTGACTATATCTTTGTTCTCTTAATCAATTCAGACAGGCTTTGTCTAATTGTCTTGTTTCTTTGCACAAAGCAAAACAACAATTTTTTTTTTAATCTCAAAGACTGCATAGAGTATTATTACCATGTTAATTACAGTAATTATAGAGTATGATTTTAGAGAATATCAATAGGTTTCTGTTTATTAATTGATTGTTAATCGTTTAGCAAACCACTGATAGTCAGTAAAGCTAAAGCAATCTATGCATAAAACTACAGTGTTATGATCTGTTGGATATTGAAACAGTATAATATTTACTTGCTCAAGCCTTTTTTTTTCCCCCTTTTTCTAAGGAAATGCTATCACTTAAATTGTGAGTCAACTGAAAAAAAATGGTGAGAGTGGTTGAAGAGTAGTTCCACAAGTTGGGATCTCAATTCAAAATTTCAGGTTCAATGGCTCTAAATTGATCCATTTGAAATTTGTTTTGAAAGCAAGCAAACCTGCCTATCAAAGATTCAAATCATGAAAATTTGAGAGTATCAGCACGTGGGGTTGCTCCAAATCCTTTCAAAAGATCAGATGTGACCTCATGAAAGTGATATTCTTAGCTACATTTCTTCTGCTCGGGGGGTTTTGCAATCCAAATTCTTCTTGATTTAAGGCCTTTATTCAGCCGTTAGTTCGGTTGGTAATAAGTCCAATTAGGTTCTAATCAAAAAAATATTTGCAGTCAATCTTTTCTTCCTAATGCTCTTAGCTAGTAATATCTTTTTTATTTTTTAATAAAAAATTCAAAGTAGATAAATTATTTAATTTTTTAAATCAAAATAAAATATATCGATTTAAAATAAGTAAATGAAAATCATGCATTAAGTATTTTTTTGCTTATTAGGGAAGCAGGAACATGAATCAGTTACATATGTCAGCTTTGGAAGACTTGCAGCAATCTGAAACTGAACATTACTCTCCAGTCATCCACAAAAGTGACCGGCAGATCTTTCATTAGTTGGTGGCTGGTATGGTGAATCAAAGCAAAGCCTCTTCAGGGCTAATATGGAGCAGTTTCTAAGAACTAGAACAATCTGCATTGGAAGCACTGCACCAAGAACTTGGGGTTCCACTTTTCCCAATTGGTCCATTTCATAAAAGCTTTCCAGTGCCTTCAAGTAGTTCATTAACACAAGACCAAAGTTGTATTTCCTGGTTAAACAAACAAGAAGTCGAAGTCAGTTATCTATATTAATGTTAGCTTTGGAAGTCCTGAAGTACTAACAGCAAGCAATTAAATGGGCAACGATTTTTATGGGTAGTTAGGCCTGGATTAATCTATGGTTCAGAGTGGACTTGAACCATTGCCAAATGGGTTTTTGGAAACATTGGGTAGGAAGGGAACAGGTAGTTAAATGGGCTCCTCAATAGTGGGAGCCTTTTCGACTCACAATGGCTGGAACTCAACTTTGGAGAGTGTATGTGAAGGGGTCCCTATGATTTGCATGCATGCCTTGTTTCACTGACCAGAGGGTTAACACAAGATATGTAAGTGAGATTTGGAGGACTGGTTTGCAATTAGAGAATGGGCTAGAGAGAGAGTGGAAAATCGAAAGATTGATGGTGGACAAAGTGTTGTATATCAAGGACACATAAAATCTATGCTTGAGTCAAGTTGGTTCGTCAAGACAATCTCTGGATACCTTGGTTCATCACAATATATCATTGGAATCACTCCCTTTCCACACACAGTAACAAGTTCTCAAGTAGAATTTGCTTTGTTTTATTAGAAGATTGAATAAGCCTATCAAGCCCTAAAGTCAATAGCATTGGAGATTTACTTACATTTACTCACTTTCCAATGTTATGAATGCCAATTGCAGAACAATATGTTTCAGTGATTTGCTTATTGGAATAAAAAATTTGTGTATTAATTCAAAGAATGGAACCAAAATTTTGATTGAAAAAAAAAAAAAATCAAGACCCATAACTTCTTCACATGGCCGATTGGAATGGCAACCTTGCTAATATAGAAACAATAGCAAAGTCATTTATGTTTGAGTTTATATTTAGTATATTATTAGTATATAGATTCTATATACTCTTAATGCATAAAATGATGATACTTCATTAATGAGTAAAAATCAAACTTTAAAAAAATGTACACAAATTAAATTTTTTTAAAAAGATTTACTCATTAATGAGATATTATCAACTGATTCATTTATTGATAAATTATTATCATCTGATTCATTAACAGTATATAAAATTTATATATTAATAATGTATCAAATATAAATTCAATATTTATTATTATCGGTTTCCAATTAGGTCATTATCATTGCCTATTAGCCCCTATAGTTGTCATTTAGGTATCTTTCTTTAGAGTTAAACATCTGTTTGAATTCATGTATAACACGAAAAGAAATTGCAGATTTGTAATTGAGTTCATGTATAACAGTTAATCAGCTCTCCTTGCAATTGTGATGCAGCTGCTTTTATTAGTCTCCAGGACATTGTATACAGCAAGCAGGTTCTTCATATCACTTTCTAGAAAGCTTGATTAGCTTCAAATTATCATTCCAATCAGACTCGGGATTAGTCTAATGTATTTTTCTTTTTCATTAATTGGAAATTTGTGATTTATATATCATATTTTCGAAATTCTTTGCAAATTATGCAGCTTTACCTAAAAAAATTTATAATTATAATCTGTTAGTGCAAAAACAGAAAATTTGAAATATCTACTTCTCGTAAATCTGAAATTTTGAGGACGTGTAACAATGTCACTTTTCTTAAGATTTTATTTGTTCTTATGGTATTATTTGCTTAGTAAGAGTGCAAAAGGATAACTGACAATAAATTTCAAAGATACAATAAAATTTAATAATAGATTACGTTTTGCATTAATGAAATTAATTCATCGAATTTCACCGACCGTATTATAAAATCATTGAACTTTTATGAGATTTTCTACATCAAAACTTTATAAAAAAAAAATCAAAATTTTATTGAAGAAAGAGGGAGAGTATTGATAATTGTTTCTTGTATCTTCTCATAAAACCAAAAAAATTTATATAATTAATTAAGTGTCTGATTATTCTATAGACATAACTGTTTATTTTGAATAGACAAAAATTATCTATTTTTAACAGTTAAAAATTATTTATTTTGAACAAATTTATTTATCTATTTTATACAAATTATTTATTCTTATCAATCTATCTATCTATTTTGGATAAACCTAATTGTTTGTTTGATTTAGATAGACTTTAACTAATTAAACACTTAAATAATTAAAAATTAAAAAATAAAATAAAATATTACTTTTTTTACTGCACTACTAAATGTCAAATGGAATTAATTAAATATTAATATTAATTA